CCCCGCGCGCGATTTAGGTTCGACCGCGCCCCTACTCGACGCCGCGCTCGCCCGCGAACGCGCCCGACGCGTCGCGCACTGCCCATCGCGCGCGCGTCCGTGGATGGGCGCTCGACGCCATGGGTACCCCTTCACGCGACGGGTCGTGACTCGTCGATATGTCCCACGCCGCGTCCGCGCGATGACGTGTCGTCGCGCGCGCGCGTTCGACGCCCGAGTCGCGCGCGCGCGTTCGACGAGCGCGCGCGCGGTGGACGGCGAAAAACGCGTCGACGTCGCGCGGGCGATCCGGTGCGCGCGGGCGCGAACGCGCGCGCGAGCGCGAGGGACGCGGACGCGATAAGGGGGTGCATCGGGTCATGGCGCTCGGGATGGCGGCGGGACGAATGGGGGCGGCGCGCGGCGTGACGGCGACGCGGGCGTCGACGAGCGAACGGGAACGGTGTGAAAGTGCGGTGTGGTGGAATCGACGCGCGATCGGACGTCGACGCGTCGTCGTGCGCGCGATCGGATGGGATCGGGAGGCGGCTGAAAACGCGGCTGAAAACGCGGAGAAGGCGGCGGCGGCTGAGGCGCGGCGACGGACGAGCAACGCGCGAGCGGCGCCGCCGGCGATGATTCCGGCGGCTTTTGATGACGATTTGATGATTTCATTCGATGATGACGAAGAGGACGTGGGTGAGGACGACAAGGAGATGGAGGAGCGCGCGCTCATCGAGGCCACAGTGGCGCGTCTTCGTAGTCGTCAGGCGCTAGGTAAGACGCTGATGACAGAGAAGCCCAAGGCACCGGTGGCGATGACGGCGGGGGCAAAAGCGGCGCGAAAGCTGGGACGCAACACGGTGAAGAAGAGCGACTGGCAGAGCTTCGTGGACTGGAAAACTCTGGAGCATCAAGAGTTTGAAACGCTGAGTGACGAGGAGTTTGCCAAGCTGAGCAAGAAGCTCGCGCTCGAGCCCCAGTGGCGACCGATGGTGAGCTACCTCAAGTCTCTCGGACTTAAGACGAGAGATCTTGAAAAGGTGGCCATCAACTGTACCGACTTGCTCAATCGACCGGTGTCTCGTGTCATCTCTCGCGTCGAGTACCTCGAAGGCGAGCTCGGATTGGAGAAGAAGAACTTGAGGCAAATCGTGAACAAGGATCCTCGAATTCTACTCCAGCGCAATCGACACTCTATCCCTCGCTGTCGATACCTCACAAAGATCGGTCTTCCACAGGAGAAACTTGCAGACGTGCTGGGGAAGCAACCGAGTATTTTGCACCTCAGCGTGCAAAAAGGCTTGATGCCGCGGGTGCAGTACCTCAAGGATGAAGTTGGTGTTTCGGCCGAGGACATTCCGCTCCTTATTCAGCGTTCTCCGGCGGTGCTAACGTTCTCGATTGAAAACCAAATCCAGCCACGAGTGGAGTTCCTGTACGATTTGGGCATCAGCAAAGAGAACGTGGTGAAAATGCTCACGCGCCATCCGCAAATGTTGCAGTACTCGTTTGAGAATTTGGAGGAGAAACTCAAGTTTCTTGGAGACATTGGAATGGATGACAACGAGGCTGCCCTTACAGTGACTCGGTTGTCTCAGTTCTTCTCGCTATCCGTAGAGGATTCGCTGCGACCAAAGTTCAAATACATGACAGACGAACTCGGTGGGACGAAGGACACGTGCGTCAAGTACCCTGCGTACTTTTCTCTCTCGCTGGACAACAGAATTCGACCGAGGCACAAGTTCCTCGAGCAGTTCGATCTCGCGCCGGATCCCTTTCCGATGAAGCTGCTGAGCGTTAGGGACGACGAATTTGTCCTGCGAGCGTCAAAGTCTCTGAACGAGTTTGAGGAGTATAAAACGCAAATGGTGCCGATTTTCACCGCACAAACCGCGCGAGAAAAGAGCCTGCGTATGAATTCTTCCATGGCGCAGCACGAGAAGTTGCTGCTCGAGCGTCGACGCGTTGAATTCATTCGAAGGAATCAGCAAGAGACGGCTCGTCAGCGAGAAATGAGCGATCGCGTCGCCAAAGCGCGTCAGTCTCTTAGAATTCTGCGCAACTCGCAACATCGAAGCCGATAGAATTCTGATTTACATTAGCTAGACTAGACCTGTAGACCGAACGAAATTGAATTCATTCTTCATTCACCACCGCTCGGGTTCGCCAACGCCATCATCTTCTGCTGAAGCTCCATGATGTCCTTCTGTTTGTCGAGCTGCTTCTTTTGGAGTTCGCCCGCCTTCTTCTCCAAGCGCTCGCTCTCCGCTCTTATGTAGTCCAACCTCTTCCCGACGTTCCCGCGCGCTTCCTCGAGATCTTGCTTCATCAAAACCGGACCAATGAGCTTGTACACCTTTGCTTCATCCTCCAAGAGCTCAAGTTCCTGCGCGCGAAACGCTTCGGTCAGCGACTCGCGAGTCAACGCGCGTGCGTCTCCGACGCACCTTTAACACCATCTCATTCTCGCTCAGCTGCTGCGACGCCTGCTGTCGAGCGATCGCGTTCGCGCTCATCTCTACTCACGATCCGTCGCCCACGCGTCGTCGTCAGTCCTCCGCGCGCGTCGCCATCGTCGTCGAGACGGGTCGAGTCGAGACGCCCAGAAACATCAATCATCGCGCGCGCGCGCGCGCGTCGTCGCGCCGTACCCTCGCCCAGCGTCTCGTACGTGCGAGACTCATCGGTGAGCTTCTTTTGCATCGCGGCGAACATCGCTTGCGGGGTCGCCATCGCGCCGAGACGCGCGCAGAGTTATGACGAGCTCGGTCTCCTCGCGGTGCCCTAGACCTCGAGACCTCACACAGACGCACGCGTCGATTTCGACGTCTGAAACGGAAGAGATCGCGCGTGGAGGCGATCGGAATCGAGCGCGCGGTATTCATGTTTTATTCCAGCGAGCTCCTGTGCGCGAAGGGGGCGCTCGGACAGATTTGGGTGCGCGCGGAGACGCGCGCCGAGCCGTTGCGCGCGATACTGACAGTCGCCGCGCGCGTCGACAGATTTTGGCGAACCAACCTGAGAAGGCGGACAGAATGACGCGAAATAAGACGAATACGTTATCTGTGACGAGTTCGTGCGCGACGATCATGAATCCGCCGTCACCACTGGTACGTTTGGGCGGAGAGGGGGCTGAGCACGTTCCGAGACTGACCGCGCGCGACGGTTCCCCCGCCGTAGGCTTTGAGATTGGCGGCGTTATTGATGCGCGGTGTCGTAGCTTTGTATTCGAGGAAGGTTCGATTTTTGTACGAGGACTGCGTCAAAGCCCTGTCTAGACTCAACGCACTCACGGCGCCAGTTCGGGCGGATCGGAACTTATTGGAGAAGCCGGAGGGCGGACGGGATGCGCGCGTGACGAATACGGTGGCATACGATGGAGAAATCCTGGCGCGACCGGATTTCGAACGCGTTCATGTCTCTCAGGCGTTCGATTCCCAGGCGTTTCACACGGCGGCGAGCGAACAGTTAGAGAGCGTGTTCGACGAAGCGTACGATCGATACACGGTTAGACAGGATGATCAAATAAATTTGCTCGACTTTCAAATGCCCATGGACGAAGAGCAGGCTCGCATAGAGGAACAATATGAATATGAATGTGCGATGGATAACGACAGAGACCGATACGGGGGTGGCCGAGGCGACTTGAACGATGACTATGCGGACTTTCGTGTAGCTCGCATGGATGACATGATAGATGAACAAATGCCACTCGTCGCTGAAGATGAGGAACCGATTGAACACGAACCAATCGGTACTCAGCTTAAGCGAATGCGCGAGCAACTAGCTATGGCTGATAAAATGATGATACTTCCGCAGCCGAAGAAGAAGAGACAACGAACCGTTGCCATGGCGCGCTCTTGTGTTTTCGTTTTCGACCATGATACTCGTATTGGTTCCGATGTTTTCCGCCACTGGTTGGCAAGCACGAGTGACATCGTGCACGATCGACCGGACATCGACGTCGTGGAAAACGTTTTACGATGCAAAGACACCGAGCGCGATTTCTATTTTCACTCCGAGGGATTCAAGGTGAACCCGGCTATATGCGCGCGATCGGCGCTTCAGCTATTCGTCGTTGATCCCGCGGCGCGTTTCGCCTTTGAGCAGTTTGCCGATGAGCCAGAAATCCCAGTTCCCTATCAAAGCGACGATGAGTACAACGCAAACTATTACGATACGATGTATGACGAGTACGGTAATGTGCGGTCGACGGAAAAAATGCGATACGCGGTGTCTGCCAAGAAGTCGACGCCCGGTTCTTTCACTGGATTCTTCAACCGCGACAAGACAACGCCATCGTCCACACTTTTGAAATCTGGGCGCAGCTCGGGCTTGGGTTTCGATAGCGCATCGAAAATTCCAGGAATGATGATTCCAGAAGATCCGGATGAGGCTTTTCCCTTGCCAGAGAACTACGATGAAATTCTCGGTGGGAGTGAACTCGATTTCGATACTCTTCGTGGTGCTCCGCGACGACGAACGACGATGCCGTCTCAGCCTTCGCTAAACGAGACCGACGGGGCTAATACCCCTGCTCACGGTACGCCGCAACCCATCGGCAAAGCGTCGATGAATCTCTTGCAATTCCTCTCGCGAGCCGTGTTCACCGCGGAGCACCAAGACGTGGAGATGGAGAGCGTGAGCTTGACCGATTTATGCGTTCTCAATCATTTGAACAGAGAAAAGGTGGCTCGATTATTCTATCAAACGCTTGTCCTTGTCGGCGCCGACTACCTCACCGCGTATCAAGACACAGATGAGGCTTTCGGCGAGATCACGCTCGTTCCCGGCGCTCGATTTGAGTTTAACGCGGCGGACTAAGCAACGTTCGAGCGACGACGCGATATGTATGAGTATGAGTATGAGAATGAATGGTGACCATGTAATTGACAATCAAATTGATTCAATCGCGCTTCTACTGTTGTCCGAACATCTTCTTCAAGTTGTCGCCCATTTCTTGGAACTTATCCGCCGGGGTCTCGCAGTCCTCCTCGCTCGGGATCATCATGACCGAGCCCGACGCCGGCGAGAACATCGATCGCGGGTTCTTCTTGTCCAACACCGCGAACCCGTATTCGATCTCCTTCGCTTGCTTGAGCATCGGCATCGTTCGCGCGACCTTTTCGATCGCCTCGAAGTCCTTGTAGATGGCTTTCCCGATGTTTTGCTGGAGCGACTTTTGCGCCATCTCCCTGGACATGTCGTTGTCCAACCCCTTCACCAGCGTATTCGCCGCGCTCCCGCCCGTGACCACGTTCAACGGATACCACGCCTTGAGCCCACGCTTCGATCGCACGTAGATCACGAACTGCTCGTTATCCGGATCGATCGGCGGCATGAATTGCTCCACCTGCGACATCATCTTCGCCCCGCTCCCCTCGCGGTTACTTTTTCCCTTACCCTTTGCGTGCGCGCGCACCGCCCGCCGCGCCGCGCCCGCGTGGACGCGCGACCGACTCACGTGCGCGCGCGCGCCCGTCGTCGCGCCCGTCGTCGCGCGCGCGCACGGCATCACGCCCGGCACCGACGTCATCGAATCACGCCCTAGGGCGCGGGCGATGACGTCGCGGCGCGCGCGCGAGGGTTTACGGCGGACGGGCGATGCGCGTAGTTAAAGACGAACACCCCGATGTACGACAAACGAGGACGATGTCGGTGCTCGACGCGTAGTGCAGAGACGAAAACCCCATGTGTGCGCCCGCGTCGACCGCCCCGCGATCGCGCGCGACGCGATCGATCCAACGGCTGGGAAATCGTCGTCGTCGACGACGACGCCGCGCGCGACGGCACATCGAGACCCGTCGCGGACGAGTCCGAGAGACGCGTGATCGAACGATCGGACGCGCGCACGTCGACCGAGACCGAGCGCACCATCGCGCGGAGTGAAGACGTAGATCTGTGATCATGGCCGCTGACCTCACGGATGAGCAAATCGCCGAGTTCAAGGAAGCGTTCGCGCTGTTCGATAAGGATGGCGATGGGACGATCACGACGAAGGAACTCGGGACGGTGATGCGATCGCTCGGACAGAACCCCACGGAGGCGGAGTTGCAAGATATGATCAACGAAGTCGACGCGGATGGCAACGGCACGATCGACTTTCCGGAATTCTTGAACTTGATGGCGCGAAAGATGAAGGATACGGACAGCGAAGAGGAGTTGCAGGAGGCGTTCAAGGTGTTCGATAAGGATGGTAACGGGACGATCTCCGCTGCGGAGTTGCGACACGTGATGACGAACCTCGGGGAGAAACTCACCGACGAAGAGGTGGATGAGATGATTCGCGAAGCCGACGTCGACGGAGACGGAGAAGTCAACTACGAAGAGTTCGTCAAGATGATGATGGCGAAGTAAGCGATGAAAATGTGCGAAATCTAAATCATCGAATCCGAATCATTGCACGCGCTATCCAATTACTACTCTACTGGACCGTCACGCAGGGGGGGGCGCCAACGCGGTGCGGTCAACTCTGCGCGACGTCCACAAGTAAGCCTTTTGCGCAGAGGCGATTTTGAATATAAATAAGAAATATCACAAATCACGAAACGATTACAATTGCGTTTGTACGCGATCGAAAACCGCGCGGACGCGCGGCGATGGGGCCGATCGATAGGTGTGTACTCCCACGGTGGACGGCGCTCATCCACGAAGCGGCTTCAACCCGAGCTTGGCCCTGATCGCATTCGCCTCTGCGATTTCGGGGTCCATCTCGGTCTTCTCCTTCTTCTCTCGTTTTTCCTTCTTCTCTTTCTTCTCCTTCTTCTCTCTGTGATCCATCTCTTCGCCACTAGCCAAAACTCCGGGCCGAGCGTCGTCGCGGCGTGCCGGCACGCGGTCGCGACTCCTAGATCTCGACCGCTCGCGCCTTCGGACGTACCTGTCACCGTCGCTATCGTCACATTCTCGATACCGAACGCCATCGTGCTCGCGCGAACGCTTCGATCCCGACGCAACGATCTCGCCGTCCTCGCGCGCACCTCGAGTGGACGCCGCGGCAGCGGCCTCGCCTGCGTCGACATCCATGTTCATCCGTTGACCTATTGCCTCCTCCACCGCGCTCTCGAGCTCTTCCTCCAAATCTGCGATATCCTCCTCAAGCGCAGATACGCGTGGCTCAAGCGCTCCCGCGGCCTCTAACACCTGGCGATGCGGCACGCGTGGGAGCGTCACGTCGCAAAACATATCCTTCGTCAACAAATTGTTCACAAACTCATCCACATGCGTCAGTGCGTACTTCCCATCACGCGTGCGATACCGAACCTTTCTATAGTCGTTCAACAGCGGCTCGAGGTATCTGTACACGTCCGTCGGTTTCCCCACCAACCGTAGGTAAAACGCGCCGAGCAACCTGACGTACTTGTGATCCTCATTCTTAATAAACTCTAACACGATCTCCTTCTCAGGCTGTATCTGCAACAGCTTCAGCGTGAGGCACAAAAACTCCGTCGCTCTGTTGTTCCCGCCGTAAATCCCACCCACCGACCTGAGGTCGACCGCGAGATCGACCAACGCCTCGGCGCTCACGCCGAAGCACTTCTCCTTCCAGTACGTCATGGCGTACACCTTATCGCGCGTGATTCGCTCCATGAGGTTCTGCGACGAGGTAGAATCACGAATATTATCGTCAGTCGTTGTTCTACGTCGCCAAACGTCGTCGAGGTCGCGCACATCGCGTGTACGCGGCGCCTTTCATCGCGCCGCTCCGCACCTGCGGGTCCGTCCCCCGGACGCTCTTCGCGAGCGGATCCGTCGCGTTCGCCATCGCGCTCGCGTTTTACGCGCGCGACGTTTTATTCTCCACCCGATCGAAGCGTCTCCGACGTCGAACGAAGCGTAAGAGGCGACACCGCGCGCGGTGCGACGCCGCAGTGCCCGGCGCGCCGAAAGATGGCGCGGCGACTGCACGGGAAGCGATTCAAGGTGCGCGCGCGCACGGCTCGAGCGAACGCGAGCGGACGTTTGCGAGGCTTCGATCGGCTTCGCGACGCGACGCGCGAAAGAGACGGCGACGAGGAGGCGATCGCGCTGAAAATTTCTCGTTGAAATTCAAAAACGGTCGCTGACGTTTCGCGACGACGCGCGCTCGATGCAGGCGCCGAACAGGCGGTTATCCGGCGCTGATGGCGCGGAGAGGCAAGGTGCGCGGAATAGAAGCGCACGCGAGCGAAATGGCGAGGAGGCGCGCGCGAAGGTGGACGCTGGCGGCGTGCCGAGAATTTGAAAATCTCGAGCTGGGTCACACGCAACGCGAGCGATGATGCCGACGACGTTCTCGTAAACGTGATGAACGGAAGACGGTGATAGACGATACAAACGCATGCTGACCGAATGCGAACGTGTGAATGCGACGACGCGCGCACAGATTTGGTACAGAAGAAGCGTAGATATCGCCCTGGGACGTTGGCGCTGAAGGAGATTAGGAGGTTCCAGAAGACGACGGATCTATTGATTCGTAAGATGCCTTTTGCGCGTCTGGTACGTATAATTGTTCTTGCTTGCGCTCGCGTCGCGCGCTAGAACGTTCGACTGACCGCTCGCGCGACGTTCTTCGGACGATAGGTGCGAGAGATTTCAAATGAACTCTCTCCCGAGCCGCTGCGATACACGGCGGAGAGTCTGTTAGCGTTACAGGAGGCCACAGAGGATTTTCTGGTACACTTATTTGAGGATTGCAACCTGTGCGCGATCCACGCGAAGCGGGTGACGATAATGCCAAAGGATTTGCAGCTCGCGCGCCGCATTCGAGGCCCGATTTACGGCGTCGCCGCGTATTAGACGCTTACGCCGCGTCGCCCGTCATCACCAGCCACCTTAGTCGTCCTCCCGCGGTTCAGAGATCGTCGCGAACGATCGAACGATCGCTCACAATCGCGGTTTAGCCTTGTACCATCGCTCAGAAACAGTGACTCCATCTATCCCTCCCTCCCACCAGTCACGACTCGCCAAAGCCCTGACCTTGATGGGTTGACCCTTGATGACGTCGACACCGTGACGTCGACGGCGCGAACCGTCGAGCTCGTCACACCGTCGTCGCGCGCGCGCGCGCCGCACGCCGGAGCGACGCATCGAGGGCTCGCCAGTTCGTGTTCATCACACCGCCCGCCCAACGCGTCGTCGTCGTCGAGGCGTCGCTCGTTCGCTCGCGAATTCGCGAGCGCGTCGTGGATGCCACTCGTTGGCGCAGAGCGCACGGGACTGCCGTCCGCGTTCGAGCCGGTGCTGTTTCACTCGTCGAGCGCGTCGACTTCGACCGGTATGACGGTGAGCGGTTCATCGGGGCGGGCGAAGCGATCGACGACGCAGGCAAAGGCGGCGGAACAGATGGCGACGAAGCCGCAAGCGAGGCGAGCGAGCGAGGCGGGCACGAGCGCGGTGGTGAAGGGGTTTTCGCACATCCCGCACGGGAATACGGCGCTGAGCGTGAAGGCGGATGAAGCGAGATTAGCGTCCATCACGGACGAGAAGGAGCGCAAGCGATTGAAGAGATTGTTGCGAAACCGAGTCTCGGCGCAGCAGGCTCGTGAGAGGAAGAAGGCCTACTTATCGTCCTTGGAGCAACAAGAGGACGAGAAGGAGCACCGAATGAACGAGCTGGAGAACCGAGTGCGCATTCTCGAGAGGGAAAACCAAATGTTACGGCAGGTGATTCAGACCGTGACTCGCAAGTCGGTTCCGGCTAACCCACAACCGGGCGACTTCGCGGTGTGAACCAGTTTTAGTTTATTTAGGAACGAAAAGCGCTGCCCTCTGCCGCGTAACACTTGTGCTTTGCCCACAACGTTCGTGTGATTTTAATGAACCTGATTTATGTTTACATTATCAATGCGTTTCCTATTGGCGCGCGCGTGCGCTCATCGCGAGTTCGTCGTCGCCCGCTTCGTTCAGCGAGCTCTGCAGAAAGAACAGTCTCATTCGTCATCGAGTTGAATGACGTTACCGTTTCCTGACTGATCCTTCCATCGCTCAGATAGGTGTTTCATGACGTCTTTGTGCGGCGTCGCGGCGCCGAGCGCGTCCTTCGCTGCCTTGAAGTTCTCCTTCACAAAGAGTGAGAATGCTGTAGGCGCGCGCTCTTGCACTTCCTCGCCATTCTTCTTAAACTTTCCGAGGTACTCGAGAGTTCCGCCGCACGAACCGCACGCCTTCTTCGTAATATCGATCGATTTACTGTGTCGTCCATACTCTTGTTGACACCAATCTCGGGTACAACGCCATTTGTACGGCTGATGAATTGCGTAGGCATGACAGGTAGAGACGTTGGTCTCCGGGTACGTCTTCATCGCGCGCGCCGCCCACTTTTTGAACACGGGTCCGTGAGGCGGCTTGGCCGTTTTATCGATGAGCCATGAAGATGCGTGACACATCTCGTGCAAGAGCGTGGCTTCCAGTTTCTCCACAGTGTCCAAAACTTTCGTGCTTAGTTCAATGCGGGCGCTGTATACCGTTTCCCCGGTCTTCGAAGAACGTTTGTAGTGCGTTAAGCCAGCTGTGGTGAGAAGTTTCTTGTTCCAACTGACCTCAAAATCTGCCGGGAGTGCGTCATCGAAGACGCTGGCGTTGAATTCCTCGAACAGTGCAGCCGTGAGCACGTCCTTGTGACGATTGAAGTTGAACTTGTCGGCACCCTTCTTAGTCACACTCTTGAGAGCGGATTGGAGGGCTTTGCTGTGCGACGGAGGCGGTCGAAACGCCTTTACGGCGGACGTCGGCGACAACTCCTTCGGGGGCGTCGGTGTGTGCAGGTTGGACGGGCTGTACTCGTCGATCACGAGCTTTTCATTCAATTCCTTGGTCAGGTCCGCTCCGGTTGTCGGTACCATGCGCGGCGCTGGTGTGACGTTTTCGGCGTCACTGTCGTACTGCGCAGGATACTCATCGTCCGAACTGCCGTAAATTTCATCACCGTCGTCGATAAAATCATCGTCGTCACTTTCCTGTTCTTCTTCGTCTTCAAAATCGTCCTCACTCCCCGACAAGTCATCGTCCACAAAAGCGCTCCGCTTGACGAACAAATTGCGACTTGCGGCTCTACGCGGGCGAGAACTCACGATGGGCTCGGATTCAGTATTGACGTCTTCATTGCGCACACCCGTCCCGTCTGAGGCATTCGAATCATCTTCGCCGTGTTCGTCGTCGTCGCTCTCGAGGATGGCTTTACGACGCGATCGAGCTCGTGGTCGAAGATCTTCGCTCGAAGACTCGGGCGCTTCTTCGGGCGAATCAATGACGACAGAATCCTCGAATCGAATGTGCGTACCAGTCGGTCGCGGTTGCACCGCCGTCGCCTCCTCCTCGATCTCACCGGCCGCAGTGAATTGTTCGTCTTCGTCGAACAGATCCAGCGCCTCCATCGCATCCTCCAACTCCGCCACATCGCCCACCTCGGTTCCTTCGACGGACTCTTCGATGGTCTCGTCAACGTCCGTCTCAGCGATAGACTCGATGATGTCTTCTTCGGCGATAGAGAGCTCACGGACGCGCTTCGGCAACGCGAAAGGCCCTCCGCGCGCGTGCATTCCAGCAAGCACGCAGTTGTCCGATGCGCACTCGCACGGCGGAAATGTTCCCTGTTCGATCTCGGGCTCTTCCTCGGCCGTGATGTCGAAACTCTCTCCTACGGACCCGAAAGAAACCGTGTCGCTTACACTCGGAGACGGCGCTTGCGTCGCGATGTTTGAGAAGCTCAACCGTTTCCCCTTTGGCGCGCGCTCGATTGGCGACAACGCGTCGATCCCGCGCGCCAGCGCCTCGAATCCACCACTCGCGTCCCCGCCCACCTTGGCCAACGATGCGAACACTTCGGCTGGATCGAGCCCACTCTTCCGAATCGACAGCATTACCTCTCCGAGCGCCCGCCTCGTCGTCTCCGCGAGCGCCAACTTTTCGTCAAAGCGACTCACATCCGCGGGCGTCCGCGTCGTCTTTCGCGCACCCGGTCGTCGCTCCACCGGCACCGTCGCCGCTTCGCTCTCGGACTCAACGTCGTTTTCTGACGTCACACTTCGCTCCGGGTCATGCATCAGATCCCCGCTCGTGTCCCCGCTCGTCTCCGTCCGCGACGCGTCTTCGGCGCGCTCTTTCCCCTCGCGCGTCGCGGCGTGTTCATCATCTCCATGTATCTTCGCATTCGCGTCTCTTTCACGCAACGCTCGTCGTCTGGACGCGCTCACGGGGACATTCTTACTCACCACCTCGTCGTTCGCGCCGTCTCCGACGATGGAGACGCTCGGGCCGAGTTTTTTCTTCGTTCGCGTGCTCGGTGGTTCACCGTCATCGCGTTCGACGAATCCACTCGCCCGTCGCGCGTTCGTCACCGATCGCGGCGTCGCGCCCACCGCGCGTTGACGCGGCGTCGTTCGCGACGATATGCGTTCGAACAAGTCCCTCGCCATCGCGCGTGGACGATCGGCGTCTCGCAGTGCGGTGACGGTTCATATTTTGTCCCGCGCGACCCCTCCGTCCGCACCGCGCGCCTCGTCGCGATGCCCGACGCGCGCGCGCGCGATCGCGCGTCGACGTCGATGGCGATCAGTGGATTCGCCGTCGCGTGCGCCACCGCGTGCACGAATCCCATCGACGTCGTGAAGACGCACGCGCAGGCGACGAGTCAGAAATCAGCCAACCTCTTGCGCGTGAGCGAACGTTTGATCGAACGGCGCGGCGTGCGCGCGCTCGCGCAGGGATTGGGACCGGCGTTGACGCGCGCGGTGGTGTACGGGGGTGCGCGCTTGGGGGGGTACGAACCCGTCTTACGCGCGATCGGGCCGCGCATGGAGGGCGGGGAGTGGGACGCGTCGCGGCCGAGGGTGTGGACGGCGCTCGCGGCGGGCGCGACGTCGGGCGCGATGGCGAGCGCGGCGCTGAATCCCACGGAGTTGATAAAGACGCGCATGCAGCGAGAGGGTGGAACGCTCAGGGAGCACTTAGAGAGGGTGGTGCGAGAGGGTGGGATGAAGACGTTGTGGAGAGGGAGCGCGCTGAGCGTCGCTCGGAGCGCGACGCTCACGGCGACGCAGGTGGCGACGTACGGAGAGGCGAAGCGCCGCGTTGTAGAGAGCGGGATAGCGAAAGAAGGCGTTGGGTTACACTTCGCGGTGGCCATGGTGACGGGTTTGGTGACGACGGCGACGACGAATCCAGTGGACATGGTGAAGACGAGAGTGTACGTCGCGGACGGGTCGCGAGAGAAGCCTTCGGTCGCGAGAGTCGTCTCCGTCGTCCTTCGTGAGCACGGCCCGCTCGGTTTTTGGCGTGGATTCGGCGCGAATTGGCTCCGATTAGGACCGCAAACGGTCGTTACGTTCGTCGTGGCGGAATTCCTACGCGACAAGCTCGGTCTCGGCGCGATGTGAGCGCCAAACTCGACGCGAGGCGCTCTACGTCGACGCACGCGTCCTCCACGTCGGCATCCGGCGCATTGTATTGTCAAAATATAGACACGCGATAGGCGCGCGCGCGCGCTCGATCGTAGCCACCAATCGTCGCCTTCGTGACCCCTACACTGACCCGCGCGCGTCCCGCTCAACCAACCTCACAGCGCGGGCACGCTCATGCGCGACCCGCACGTCGTCTTGGGCGTCGACGCCGACGCCGATGCCGAGGTCGTCAAGCGCGCGTTTCGCGCCAAGGCGATGACCTTACATCCCGACGTCGCCGGCGCCAGCGCGTGCGAGGATAAGTTTAAGGAGCTTCGCACGGCGTACGACGTCATGTTGAAAAAACTCGGTTCGGCACCGGACGCCTCGGCGGACGCGTACGGACCGGGGATGCGGGCTCGAATGGACGCCGCGCGAGCGTGGCGAGAGCGCGCGGGGCTGTCGTCGAGCGAACCGATGGCGAGCGCGCGGGAGCGGAGCGAGCAGAGGAACGCGCCGAAAGCGCGAGGCGCGGCGTTCGATGACGAGGCAAAGAAAACGCTTGATGAGCTCTTGGAGGAGCGTAGACGGGCGATGCGAGCGAATACAATGTCCAGTGGGTTTGTCGAACGGGCGGGCGGGCGGGGAGGGATGTTGTCGGGTCGAATAGGTTGGTCGTCTTCGGCGCCGTTGGGTTGGCGGTTGCCGTCGTTTCGCGCGAAGGGTGCTTCACATTCAAGAGGAGAAGCGGCGCGCGAGCGAAGCGGCGTGAACGTCAGTAGTTTGCATTATTTACACTAGTCATTCATCGTGTTGTAGCGCGAGTTGGTTCCGACGTTTCATCGGTCTCGACGTATCACATCATCAATACTCAATACTTCGTTGGTCGCCTATACTTCGTCGCTCCAAGACGCACGTCTCCGTCTATGAGCTTTTGGAAATCTTCGACAATGCCGTTTCGAACGATGATTCCGAAATCTCTGTTAATGCTGGACTTGTGAGGTGGAAACGGTTGAATGGGTTGCGGCAGATCACTTGGGGACAAATTTCCCGTAGACACAGCGACACTGGATCCGTCTGAGATGATCACTTTAAGGTGTGCATAGCGGTAAAAGTGTGGCGAGGAGTAGAATGAAATCTTGCCTCTTGATTGTGCTCGCATCGCATCGATCACTCGCGTCGAAATTCGTCTGTCTTGATCTCCATAAATTGCCCGCGATAGCACGACTCTGACGCGCACGCCGCGCTTGGCGAGCGATAGTATCATCTCCGCAAAGAATTCATCCGTTATTTGATAGGTGTATACGTCGAGCGTGGTATTCGTCCGCTTGAAAAAATCTATCAGCGTCGTCGCTCCGGCGTCAGGCGACACGAACAGTTCTATTGCGTCTCCAGAGATTGATACCGGCGGCCGGCGAGGCGCTTCGTAATGAGGCTCGTTGATTTGCCGACGGGGGATCGGAAACGGCGGAAGAAATCCCCCATCTTGAATGTTTCGTCTCTCGTCGTCACTGATTCCATTCGTCGGAGCCGCCCACGTTTCGGCGAGCTCGTAATCAAACTCAAACACGGTCATAGCGAAACTCGCCGCTTTTTCGCTCAAGAGCCTCACGCCAGCCTCACGATTCTCGATGAACGAGGTCCTGCTCCAATTCACGCTACTTATGCTCACCGTCTCGCCATCGATTATCAACACTTTCGAGTGCTGAAACGTCGTCGTGCGATACGTCTTGACCTCGAAAATCTCGCTCAAGTAACTCATCACGGTGGTGCGTCCAGAGCATTCGTGAACGTTGTCAAACAAATTCGTCAGCAATCGCACGCGCACGCCTCTGTTCGCGGCGTTGATCAAATCTCGAAATAGTACAAACTGTTCTTCGTCTCTAAGCTTTTCCGGCTCGCAGCCGACGCACACGGAGCCGCGTTCGGGGGTCCCGCATCCGCTCCACGACTCCACGCCCGGCGCGTACGCGTCAATCGTCCGCCTCGACCCCTGCACGAGCTCCCTCGCTGTCTCGCCGCTCGTCTCCGGAGAGAAGAACGCTTCGACCGCCACCACATCGTTCGCGTCTCCGCGCCACGGCGTCGTGAATCGCGGTTCGTACGTCTCGTTCTGCGCGCGATTCAAAGCCTCGTTCGTTTAGTCTCGGCGCGGGTGCCCGGAATCCGAATCCAACGCCCCGACGCGTCGTCGTCGATACCCTCGCGTCTGACCGAGCACCGCGTCGTTCTGATCGCTCGAACGCACCTGATGATCGTACGGCGCCCTCTTTCGTTCGTCCACGACCGCGAGCGCGAGCGCGAGCGCTTTAAACGCCCGCATGAATCGATGCTTCTCTCCACTACGAATCCGTCGTCACAGCGCCCCGCGCGCGATGACGAGCGCCAGCGCGTGCTCTCGACGTATCGCAGATAAGTTGCTCCAGCGATGGACGCTCACCGCGGAGACGTGCCCGGTGGAACAGTGTCGTCACGTGCCACTCATGCTCGAACGCTCGGACGACCCGAGTTGTATGTTTTGGTGCCCGAGCGCGGAGACGTACGTCGTGGACGGCGCGCACGGCGCGCGCGACGTCTCGACGAGCGCGAGAGGGAGCGAGGACGGCTCCGCGGCGATCGCTGACGATCGGACGACGGAGGTCTCGGTCGAGACGCTCGGAGACGCCTCTGGCGCGGTGGCGGAGAAGTTGTTGAGCGGGTGGACGCTCACGGGCGACGCGTGTCCGATGCCGGGGTGTCACACGCCGTTGGTGAGAAATAGTGCCGGGGAGATGTTCTGCGCGCGACACGCGATGTACGTGCGAGCGGAGTCGGCGGTGTCGCGGCCGCCCGCGGGGACGGCGGCGGCGGCGGCGACGAACGCGAACGCCGGCGACGGACAACGGAGGAGCGTTCGCGGGACGATGATCGACGCCGACGTCATTGCGTCGGAACGTCGCACATTCGACGCGCTCGAGGCCAAGTTAGAGCGCGCGCGCGAGGCGCTCGAGCGGAGCGTCGATCCGGAAGACACGAGGTCGTATTTGAGACTCATCGACGACTTGCACGCGTCCATGAAGGCGCTTCAGACGTCGCCGCTGTAGCGATGTAGAGAACTAGGTACACGCGTATGTTAACACGTTATTCATTCGCACGTCCATCGCCCGTCGCTCCTTCGATTCGACCTTCCCACGCGTCGGCGGCGCTCGTCGTGTTCCGAGCCGCGCGTCGTCGCGACGGAGACAGTTAGAGCGCCTTCAACACCCGCACTCGTCGCCTCTCGAGTCTCGTCGAGGGCGTCGCGGAACCCCGACTCGGCGCGCCAGATGTTTATTCGGCGCTCGCACGACGCCGCGAACGAGCCCGCGCGAGACGCGCGAGGGGCGAGCGTGGATGAGGCGAAGAATAATCTTTCAAAGTTTGAAAACGCGTCCTCGACCGCCTCGCGCGCGACGCCGGTGATGCGCAAGCGTGAACGTGTCGTGGAGGCGGGCGAGATCGAGAAACGCACGGAGGCGGGCGAGATCGAGAAACGCACGGAGGCGGGCGAAGACGCGTGCGCGTTGACGCCGAGCGAGACGGACGAAGGGGGGGTCTGGGGCCGCGGCGGAAAGCGAAGGTCGACGAGCGGCACGGGAACGAAGAGCTCGGTCGAGGGTGGGAGCGATGGGATCGACGAGGTTGTCGAGGGTGGGACGAGTGGAACGCCGAAGGAGGCGGATGGGAAAGCGGGCGGTGGGTCGCACGGGATAGGGAAGGATTTGAAACGCGTGGCGGACGCGGAGCTGGCAAAGCTCGATTTGAAAAAGAAGAGCGGTTCCCCGAGCGATGCGTCGCGCAAGCTGCGAGTGATGAAGCTGTACGTTGAATCCGCTATTCACTTCGTCGACGCAGCGGCGAGAAGGTCCGACGAACTGGCGAGGCGAGATAACTTTCGCGACGATGTACAGTTTGCGCGATACGTGGACAAGGTGTGTTCGATGTGTTACGCCTCGGAAGTCGGCGATGTCGATTTCAAGTTTCGGTGCACTGCCTTGCGTGCGCTGACGTCGCGACTCGCCTGCGCCTGTGCGGCGCGCGTTCTGAGGTATTCTGAGCGCGAGCTCGAGGTTGCAGCTGAAGACGTGGAGAAAGGACGTGAATCCGCCGAGGCGGTTCTGGTGAGAGGTGTCAAGGACGCGAAAGTCCTGACCGAGTGCATGCGCCAGGCGGCGTCGCACGTCATGAACATGAAATCGCTCGTCCCCAGACATCGTGACGATGCCGTTCGAGTGTGTGAGATCATCATGGACTTCGCCTCTGACTGCGGTAGCGCACAACGATGCGTAGAAATCGCCGACGAAGCGCACGAGGCTCTGGAGAAGATAACGTCGATGAAACCGCTGTGATTCTATGTGCAATATCATTTATTGTTTACAACTCAATTTCTACGCCCTGTCTCGCGACCGTGATCGTATCCAACTCGCGGTGAACGCACCCAAGAGCGCGCAAGTCCCATGTGTGACAAATGATATTACTCTCGCGGCGACGCCTTTGTTATCATCCAGCGGTTCATCCGGTCGAATGGGCAATGTCATGCACTGCATAAGAGCCGCCTTGGCGTCCAATTCGCCGCGAAGACACTGCGCGCACGTCGTTATCATGGGAGCCGCAACACCGAGCTTTCGTGCCAATCGTTCCGCCGCGGGAGCGGTGGCGACTCCCTCGGCGACGCCCTTGAGCGACTGCGCGCGTTCACTCAAAATATCTTCAACCTTCTGCCCTCGTCCGAACGCGATCCCGACCGCTTTGTTGCGAGATGCATCGCCCAAACACGTGAGCATAAGATCACCGATTCCCGACAATCCCGCCATCGTGTGCTCCTTCGCTCCCATGGCGACGCCCAGACGTGTCATCTCTCGACATCCGCGCGTGATCAACAACGTTTGCGCGTTCACCCCTAATCCCATCCCCTCCAACCCGCCAGCGAGGATGGCGATCACATTTTTCAGTGCCCCACCGATCTCGACCCCGACGACGTCCGTGCTCGGATACACCCGCATCTTCGGACCCGCGAATAACGCGCTAGCGCGTTCCGCCGTCGCCATGTCCCGAGCCGCCATCACCCCGCCGCTCGGCGTCCCGTTCATCAACTGCTCCGCGAACGTGGGCCCACCGAAAAACGCGCACGGGTGATTACTCCCTAACGATCGCTTCAACACGTCGTGCATGAGCTCCAACGTCTCGCCGTGCAATCCCTTGGACGTGTTCACGAATAACGCGCCGCTGCGTTTCACCAAATCTTTCACACCGTCCAAGAATTCCTCCGTGCTCTGCATAGGTATCGCGTGCACGATCGCTCCCGCGTTCGATATCGCTTCCTCGGCGTCCATCGTCGCCCGCACGTTCTTCGGAAGCTCGTACGCGGTCAGATGTTGCGGGTTTCGTCCATTTTCGTTGATGCACGTCGCGACATCTTCTCTTCTCGTCAAGATGATTACGTCGTGTCCGTTCCTCGCGACGACGGACGCCATGGCGGTGCCGAACGAGCCGCTTCCAAAAACAGCGATCTTCATCGTCGTCGTCACCGACGCCCGATGGACCCCGCGCGTCGCGCGCTGCGGCGTCGGATGTGACGTTTTCACCAATCGATAACGGTCGAGGCGCGCCGACGCCGTCGTCAGAACATGCCCGCGGACGCGCGCCCGTCGAGGGCGATCGCGATCGACGCGCACGTCGAACACGTCGTCGCGTCCAGGGACGAGTCGAACGCGGAAGAGGGAGGGAGAGAGGCTGCGTGCGGGGTGATTCGCGTCGAGCGCGAGGGAGACGCATTCGAGTTTGAGTGCGACTTAAAGGGGGCGCGGGCGCTGGACGGAGCGCTGGAGGCGGCGGCGAAGCGCATCGAGGCGCTGCGTGAGGGATCTGCGATCGAGGAGCGCACGCGGGGGTGAGCGTGCGAGCGCGGTGGGGTGGACGCGGGCGCGGGCGCGGGCGGCGGTCAACGCGCTTCGTCCCGCGTTGACCGGCGCGAGCGCGGCGACGGGTTCGAGACGTTGAGGACGGTATCGACGCCAATGGAAATTGAAGGCGACGTGGGTGGTGTCGTCGTGGGTGATCGTGTGGAGAGCGTCGATGGCGCGCGCGCGCGGGTGCGATGGACGGGCTCGGTGGACGGACGCTCGGGGCGATGGATTGGTTTGGAGTGGGACGACCCGACGCGAGGGAAACACGACGGTGTTGTCGACGGCGTTCGATTGTTTACGTGCGCTGCGAGGAGCGGGGACGATGCAAAGTCTCGACCGGCGTCGCTCGTGCGACCGCACAAGCTCGCTCGCGCGCAAACGTTCGCCGAAGCGTTTCGCGCGCGATACGCACGAGAGCGTGATGAGGACGATGACACGACAAACGACATGTACATACGCACGGCGAGAGGACATAAGATGCGAGTAGAGCTGTGCGAGACGACGGCAGACGCGGACGCCGATGCGGACGCGGTGAGGAAACGGTTAAAGTTGATGACACGAGCGTACATCGACCACGCGCGTGTGTCTAGCATGGGCGAGCCCGGCGCGGCGAGCGCGTGTGCGGGACCTTTGCGGGTATTGGGTTTAGCGGGTAGCTTGTTGAACTCATGGGATGGCGTGATGCGTATTGCGGAGGAGTTTCCACTCTTACAGGCGCTGGATTTGAGCGGAATTCGGCTTCACTCATGGACCGGCGGTGGCGAGAAGACTTTCGCAAACCTGAAAGTTCTTGTTTTGAATGATTCTGACGTACGTTGGCGAGATGTATGCGCGATTAGCGCGCACGTGCCCGAGCTCGAGGAGCTGTACATAAATGGGAACGGCATGTCTTCCTTTGAGTTGGATAAAGCCGCAACGTCGGTCTTCCCAAAACTACGCACGTTGAGCGTGGAGAGCAACGGAATTCGCAAATGGCGCGAAATCGAAGCGATTGGTCATCAGCTACCACGTTTGGAGTCGCTGCATGCATCTGAGAACGCGCTTTCGGAAGTTCTCCCCACATGTGCGTTCCCTGCGCTCAAGACATTGCTCATGGGCGATAACGAGCTCAACTCTTGGACATCCGTGGATGCGCTGAATTCATTCCCTCAACTCGAGGACGTACGTTTGAGTGGAAATCCAATCGTAAACGCCGATGCTTCCGTTCGTTACGAGGTCATCGCGCGCGTCCAAGGGCTGAAGATGCTGAATGGTTCGTCGGTTTCACCAGCGGAACGCAAAGACTGCGAGATTCGATACTTGCGGAAAGCCTTACAAAAACTGAAGGACTTTTCCGGCGACATCGAAGGCGAGAAGAACGCCAGACGAGAGAACCCTCGAATCGACGCACTTGTCGCCGTACATGGGGAGCTAGTCACGCACGCGGCGACCGCACCGGGTTCGGGAACGCTCGCGAGCGTTTCCGTCGAGCTCGTCCTGTGTCTTGAATCCGCCGGTCGCACAATGACGAAGAAACTTCCGAAGAGCACCACCGTGGGAAAAGTCAAGCTCATGTGCTCCAAGCTCTTCAAATTCACTGTCTCCTCGGCCGAGCTTTTCCTCATCGTCGACGAGGACGAACGCGTGCCGCTCGCTCCGGACGACGAACCACTCTCGCGCTTCGCCCCAAGAAATGGCCAACGCGTCGACATCGTCCTAGCCTAGCCAATGCACGCCGCAACACGACGCACATCACTGAATCTTCCACGAAAATCGTCTCTCGACACCGCGCGCGCACGTCTCCAACATTCACGCGCTCTCCTGCGCTCCGCCGACGAAAACGTCCCAACTGTCACATTCACACACGCAAACCGCACACGTCCGCGCGCGACGCTCGTCCATCGTCGACCCCACGCCTCGGTCACGCGCTCACGAGCGATGCTGTCGTCCAGTGTCTCGCGTTCGCACTCCCGCGAGCGCGCCGTGATGCGCTCGAGCGCGAGCGAACCGCGAACGTTGGGCCAAGGCTTGGTGCCCCTGGTGAATCGTCTCCAGGACATCTTCGCGAGCGCCGGTCTGCGTGGAAGTAAAGCGGTGGATCTTCCGTGCATCGCCGTCGTTGGGAGTCAATCGAGCGGGAAATCGAGCGTGCTCGAGGCGTTGGTACGTCGGTTCGACGCGAGAGGGGAATCAGACGAACGCGCGAGGGGGAAGATGAACGGGCAACGCGTTCGCGATGGAAGACTGACGGATGTTTGAGTGCGTCGGGACGTAGGTGGGAAGAGATTTCTTACCGCGAGGACCGGATATATGCACGCGAAGACCACTGCTGTTGCAGTTGGTGCACACGCCCGCGAGACGGGGCGAGCCAGAGGAGTGGGGCGAGTTTTTGCATTTGCCCGGGAAGATTTACACAAACTTTGAGGAGATACGTGCGGAGATCGAAGCGGAAACAGATCGTACGTGTGGGAACAAGGCGGTGAGTAACAAGCAAATCAGGCTGAAGATTTGCTCGCCGAACGTGTTGACAATGACGCTGGTAGATCTACCTGGGATCACGCGCGTCGCCGTTGGCGACCAACCGGAGGACATTGAGATTCAGATTCGCAACATGATTCTGAGTTACATTAAGAGGGAAACGTGCCTAATCTTGGCCGTGACACCGGCAAACTCGGATCTGGCGAACAGCGACGCGCTGACACTATCGAAGCAGGTGGATCCGGAGGGTAAGCGAACGCTTGGCGTCATCACCAAACTCGACATCATGGACAGAGGGACCAACGCAGTAAAGTACTTGAAGGGCGAGGTGATTCCGTTGAAGCTGGGATACGTCGGAGTGGTCAACCGTTGCCAAGCTGACATCGCCGAACGCCGTTCGATCAATCACGCGCGCAAACTCGAAGCCGATTTCTTCGCGTCCAAGCCAGAGTACGCGGACGTCGCCTGCAGCTGTGGCATCCACGCACTGAGCCGGAACGTCAGCACGTTGCTAGCCGACCACATCAGCACATTATTGCCAGATTTGCAGGTTCGTATCATGCGCGAACGGTCCGAGGCGGAAAGAGACCTAGAACTCCTCGGGCCAGATGTGCCAGAGACCGACTCGGAGCGAGCGGCTCTCGTGTTGTCCAAGCTCGAGCGATACGCGCAAAGCCTTCAGGCTGCCGTTGAGGGTCGTAACCACTCACTGAGCGTTGATGTTTTAGAAGGTGGCGCTCGAATTCGCCATGTTCTCCAAGAGATCTTCGTCAGGGGTCTTCTCGAACTCAATCCTACGTCGACGATAACGGATGAACACATTCGCACGAAGATTCAGAACACAGCAGGCACGAAGGCTGTGCTCCTTGTCCCGGAAGAGCCCTTCGAGCAACTCGCGAGGCAATGTATCGAGAAAATGTTAGAACCGTGCAAACAGTGCGCCACTCTCGTGCACGACGAATTGTGCGCCATGGCGATGACTAGTTTGACGAAGGATGTCACTGGTGTGTATCCGCACCTCGCGGACGCGCTCGAAAAGTCTTGCAAAGAGTACTTGACGCAAGGACTGAGACCGGCACTGGATATGATCGTCAATCTTGTTGAATGTCAGTTGGCGCACATTAATACGTCTCATCCAGATTTCATCGGTGGTCCACAGGCTTTGATCGTGGCGCAAAAGGCTCTCAAAAAGCATTTAGGCGACGATGACGATGAAGAGAACGAAGTGCCGGATGTGCCGGGAAAGAATAAGAAGAAAAATGTGGTAGACAAGGAGAACATCGGCGCTAAGCCGACAACGCTCGAGAAGGCTGGAGAGTGGGTGACTGGCATTCTGAGCCCTTCAAAGAGAAATTACAGCGTCGAAAACGGGACGGTGAAACTTTTATCGCCTCCAAAGAAGCTCAGTGCCAACAAGTGCGAGACACCTGAGGAGTACTTGCAGGTTATGGTCACTCGAACGCTTCTTGACAGTTACTTCAACATCTCGCGAGGAATCTTGGCCGATATGGTGCCGAAGGCTGTGATGCACTTCCTTGTAAACTCAGTTGGGCGCGGCTTGAGGCAACACTTGATCGGCAAGCTCTATCAACCTCACACTATCAGAGGTTTGCTTGCTGAAGATCCTGAAGTTGCGTTGATCCGTGAACAAACTCGCACGCGAGTCGAGGCACTGAGTGCTGCTGCGCTCACTATATCCGAATTCAAGTCGCAACTCACCGTCACGTCGAGCATGTAAAAAACGAACACATCAACAAATCGCTGACTAATAATTTACAGTGGTCTTCTAGAGTCAATCGTAGCCCCTAGCCGTGGCTGCGTAATCTATGTGTCGAGACGCATCCCGGATAGATCGTGTGTGCTTAGATCGCATCGATTCGAACAAATCCCGCGAGTACACGACTAACATTGCGGTGCCGTACGCGACACGGGTGTAATTTGTGGCCACCTCAATCGCATCTCTCCAGATGGATCTCTCGTGCTGAGAGTTCCAGACACCCGATCTCTTGCGCGCACCGTCACTGGGTATGATCAGTTCCCACCAATCGTAGTCACTTTCGAGCTGCACGTTGAAGTTACCTTCGCCCATGATCGCTTGTCGCACTTGAGCAATCGCTCTTTCGATTACTGCGCCAGCGGCGTCTCCGTCCTCTCGCGTCGTCTTCTTCGGCGCACTCGGGGAAAGATTGACGATCGCCTCCTCGACTTGAAACAGGAACCGAATTAATTCGGACAGGCGCTCCTCGCGGTTGACGTCTCTCAACCATAAGGACCACCCTCGCGAAGTGCCATCCGGAGCCAATGCGTCGTTGTCCAATAAGTCGCGCGCCAACTGAGACAAATTGTGCCGAATACTCTCTGTCGCGAGCGTCTCGCGCAACGCCAGCGCTGTCCATGCCTCTGAGTTGAGTCTGAGATTTGTTTTCGGAAACATCAAGTCTTGCTCGAATTTGACGTGCTGGAAAGTTGCAACTATTTCGTCGCGAGAATCACGAATATTCTTTGCAAGTCGTCGTTCTCGAATGCCCTTTTCATTCAAAGATTTTTCAAGCGCGTTCAGCTGGTCGACGGTCTCAAACTTCGACCAAGTGCCATCCCTAGAACACGCGATCACGGCGCTCTGGTCGTTCGCAAGCTTCCAGTAGTATCTCGTGCAGTTACGATCTTGTCCAAGGCATGCGGCGCGAACACGAATCTGAGAATTTTGTTGCTTTCGTTCGTTCTCAATCTCAGCGCGTCTCTCTTGCTCGAGTATGTGCTTCTCCTCCAACTCGATCAACATTTTTGCCTCCTGTTTCTTTTCCTCGACGGACTGAGCTTCCTCGGCATCTTGGTTCTCCATGGATTGTTCTGTGCATTCATGTTGCACGAGTTCACGTGCTTCGTTCAGGTCAAGCGAAACGTCGGCGAGAGATTTTTTGTACTCTTTGTCGTACTCGGTGGCTTGAGCGTCCTCGCGCTGCCGCTTCTTTCGCAATGAAGTACTCTCTGAAAGACGCCGGTCGACTTCCTGATTGAGAACCTGAGATTCCAAGCATTCGGCACAGAGCCAAAGAAGGAGAGTCGTGTGCTCCTCTGCGGTGAGCTCACCGATGACCTTATCCTTCAGCGAATCCACCACGAGCATCGTTTTCTCATCGACAATCCCAATTCGAGACTTCACTTTTGCGTACTGTCGAATGATTTCCGGGTAAGTACCGCTATCCAAACCTCGAACCCACAATTCAACGAGATTCTTGTAGAGCGACGACACAGAGGTCACCGCAACGCGTAACAATGACTCGTACATCGCAGAAAGTTGCTTGGCGGTGTGATCGTCTAAAACTTCACGGAGCCTTTGTGTATCTATGCACTCTATTTTGGGCGTCATGAACGTACCAAAAGTGTTGCAAAACTCGCAAATTTCAATTTGCGACACGTCATTCACACTCACGTTCCACGCAACTCCGGAAGCGACAGGAGGCCACGGATCTCGGCCTTGCTCTTTCGCCTCGACCGCGTCGTACGCGATGAGTGCTTCGTCCTCCATGGGATATCTCGTCGCTTCCTCCTTCTTCCTAGCGATTTCCTGCAAGCGCAGTTCCTTCTCTCTTGCCTTTCTCTCGTCACGCTCGATCTGCTCCTGCGTCCGCTTCGCCAAGCGTTCGTTCTTCTGCTTCTCACGCAAAGCCTGTTTCTCCTTCCGTCGACTCTCGGCTTCCGCTTGCCTCTGCTGCGCCGTCGCGGCCCTTGATCTCAGCGTATCTAATTGTTGCGCATCCGCACTCGCCTGCGCGAGCGCTTTCGACGCCGCACTGCGCGCCTCTGCGACTTCACGCTTGAGCTTTTTCACCTCGGCCCAAAGTCCGGAAGATTGCCTCTTCGCCTTGTTTCTCGCTCGCGCCCTTCTATCCGCGATCCACTCCGCTTTCGCCGCATTTAATCGCGTTATCTCTTGTTCTACCCACTTTCTATGATTCAGTAACTCCTTTCGATCGTTCGCATTCCCCTTGAATACCTGCGCCTTCTCGCTCAGCGTGAAGTCGGGCATGTCTGACAAGTCCATCTTCTTTGTGGGCTTCTTTTTCATCTCCAACCTCTCCTCGGCATCGTCCAACTTGCGAGTTAGCTCCTCCAACTTACTCTGCTCCTCCTCGGCCCACTCCGCGCTCTTTAACGTCTTTTCCAGCGCCGCCTCAAGCCTCTCCGAGTACACGCACGGGATCCCGTTCGCGGCTTGCCCGTTCGCCACCCGCGGCGGAGCTGAGGCCTCACCTCGCCGTCCACCGTCCACGGACATCACACTCAGCGTCATCGACGCCGCTGGTTTCGCCTCTTCCCCATCGTCGACCTTCATCTTCCCGTTCGCCCTCTTCTTCGCCACGCTTTGCTCCACCGGCGTCTCGCGCTTCAACGGAGTCAACCCGTACGTCATCTGAAACCCCGGTCGCGCCACGAGAACCTCCTCGTCGCTCGTCCGCGGGTACGTCACCATCATCACGTACTCCCTGACCTCGCGCGCCGTCGGCATCGCGTTCGCGACGCCGCGCGCGCGCACCGCGCGTCCCGCGCGCTCGACCGCATCGGCGAGCGATCCTTTAAGACCGTGCACGCTCCGCACCACCGCCTCCTGCGCCACCCCGAGCGCGCGCGCGTCCGTCATCATTCGCGCGCTCGGGCTCGCGCGAGGCGTTCGACGCGCGTCGCGGGGCTGCCGCCGCCGCCGTTCGCCGCGCGCGCCGAGCCCCGCGCCGGCCGCGCGCCGAGGGACTCTTCCCGAGTCACGACTC